AAACAAGGCCAGTTTCCAGTGGCTTCCTAGGCTTGGCTCCCCTGCCCCACCACCCACCTCAGCGGCCAATCAATTCCCTACTCCAGGCCCGACACAGGGCTCTTATGTAAACCCGGGGGAGGGCATGGGGGGCCTGGGTCTCACGGAAGGAGCCTCGTGACTGCCCCCACCTCCCGTGGGCCCTCAGCCCGTGCTCTCTGAACACCGTCCCGCTTAGAGGCACCACTTTCCTGGGGAGGGTGCTTGGGACCTCACCCACCATCAACTGGGCTGGCTGGGGTTGGAGCCTTTGCGTTCACAGCAGAGTCGCTGGTTAAAAAGAAAGCATTCTCCGGCCAGTCCCATTGCCAGGCGGCAGGGAGGAAGAGGAGGGGAAGAGGCTCAGCTGATTAAGGCAGAGGACGGCTGGCCAGAGGGCCGTCTTGGCCGGCAGAGCGGGGCGTCCTCACCCCGCTCCCTTCCCAGCACACAGCAGGCCTTGTAAGGACCCAGCTGTAGGATTACGCTGGAGTTCATATCACAGTTTATCAAAGAGGCTGCGTTTCTCCCTCCTCGCCTTTTCTCCTCAGCATAAGTGACCAGTTCATGGGAAAACAAGGCCCGCGCTTGTCCTGCCTGCACTGGCACGGAGGGTGGGAAGAGGCTGGAAGAGGGAAGTAAATGTACACCAACACCCACCCGGGGCCGAGTTGTTTTAAGGGGCTGGGCCGCGGTGGGTGCCCTGGGTGCTGGGGCAGCAGGCCCGGTGCGCCAGAGCCAGCTGTTGGCACAGAAGGTTCAATTATTTCACCCTCTCAAGTCTGGTTTCCCCTCCCCACAGCCCACCGTGGGAGGCGAGGCCACATCGCCAGGCGGAACAACAGCTCCCCTTTACCGAGCTGTGCGGAGAGCTGTAACACGCACGGTCTTACGTAACCCTCTCCGCAAACGACAGGCAGCACCACCGTCTTCGTCTTACAGGCAAAGCAAGCCAGCCCTGGACACCGGTCGCGCCGTTAAAAACTGGTGGACCCGGGTTTCGAACCCGTCAGCCTCACTCCAGAAGCTCCCTCCTGCCCTGAGTGCCTGTGGGAGGCCCAGTGGCTGCACGACTGTGGAGAGTGTGGGTGTGAGTGTGGACAGGGCTGGGGGTGCCCGGCACCAGCCCCCTCTCAGCACCCCCTAACCCTGTCCTGTCTTCCCTCCATGTGTGGACTTGTGAGCAGTTCCCACAGTCTGGTTGAGATGAGGTTTTGGAGCCACTGGCTTCCCCAAACTCAACAGGCGTACACACTGTTATGTCCACCAGAAACAAGGCCACTTGGATCCAGAGAGGATGTCCAACCCACCCAGGCTGGAGCTCGGGGCCCCATTCCCAACCCCCTCGGAGGTGCAGCTTGGGAAAGCTGAGGGGAGAGGAAACGCTCTGGGTCCCGAGGGAAGTCAGGCATCTTCCTCAGCGCCAGGACCCCCACCAGATGTCTGGCTCCAGATGCTTTGTGCTAGACATACAGCCGCTCCGGGACCTGGAGCTCACACTGCCACAGCCGTGGTTTGCCAGAAGAATCTTCCCCTTCCTTTTCAACGACTGGTCTTGGGGGTTGAGAGGAGCAACTTACAGTTTCAGTAACACCTGGAGGGTTTGATCATTTACTGTTTCTCAGCAGCCGCGTGTACCATTATTACGCTCCTCCTTGGAGCCCTCAGCAGAACGAAAGGAAATGAGACGAGGAGCCTGCGGGCAGGCTGACGCTCCCGAGGGCCCATCCCAGCGATCTCTGCCGAAGGGGAAAGCACCCCTTCGAGGCCGCCTCCACATCTGATGCTGTGCGGTGTGGGCCCTGACAGCCGGATTGGGGGCCGGGGCTGTGGCCTGGGCCGGCCGGCTGTGACCTGGCACGCTGGCTTAACAGGCAGCAGGTTCACAGAACTGGCGTGGCCCAGAAGGGCCAGGTGGCTGTTGGTGACAGGTGCTGGTGCTGCTTAGAGGAATGGCAGGCTGACAACTGAAGCGAAGGACTAAGAGGGGCCACATGTGTGAGGGGCCAGCCCTGGTTCTCAGTGCGAGTGCCACGGGCTAGGAGGCCTCTGGGGCTGTGGGATGGGAGGGAGGCCAGGCTCTCACCCAGGAGGCCCCAGCACGGTCCCTGAGGGGCGTAAGCCCTAGAATGGAGAGCGGTCACCATGCTGGCTATACTGAGTGCCCTGGACCAAGAGGGAGGAGCCCCTCAGGGCACGGGACTCGCCCTCTCACAGAAGGGGCAAAGTGGCAGCTGCGGCGTTAGCAGAGCGCAGGGGTCTGCAGCCCAGCTCCGACCAAGCCGGAAGGGTACATGGCTCCCTCTCATTTCTTCTGCAAAATGAGGATTCCCACCAGCCCCGGATGCCTGGGAGACACTGCAAAGCGAGCGACGCCTCACTGTCCTAGAGGCGTAAATGGGAAGGTGGGCGGTGGCAGGGCCCCAGCCGCACTGCAGCTTGGTGCAGTCTGGGGGTGCTGCTCACTCCCTTGAGCTCCCGCTCCCCACTCCTGATGGGGCCTGTGAGGCTGAGAGGATGGAAGAACCCATTACAGCCTGTTCTCCAGGGAGGAGAGTAGCTATGCAGGCCTTTCGAAAGGCCTCTCTCCACTGGTTCCCGAAAGTCTTCCAGGCAAGGAGGGCTGGTCAGAGGGCTGGCACCTCTGCAGTCTGGAAAACCACATACAGCGAACTGTCACTCATGTGGGGACAGGCCGTCATCTTCCTGGTGGGGGTCTCCTGTACCACATCTAACCTCTCCTTCAATCCCCGACTAACTGCCCAGCCTGAGGTGCTAAAAACCGTGGACATCTTCCTCCCTTGGCCAATGGGGACAAGAATCCATTTCTGTCCCTCTGAACCTTGGTTCTCATTCAGGGCAATTTTGCTCCCAGGAGACACTGGAAATGTTTGAAGCCATTTTTGATTGTCCCAACGGGGTGGGTGCGATGCTGCTGGCAGCAGGTGGGTGGAGACCAGGGATGCTGCTCCACACCCTACACTGCAAGGACAGTCCCCGCCACAAAGAAGGACCGACCCCAAATGCCAATAGTGCGGTGACCCCCTCCCACCCCCACAGCCACCTGCTGGGAGGGCAGGGGCTCTGCGGTCCTGCTCTTTGTCCTTCTGGCGAGGCAGGCCTGTCCCTCCTTCGCCTCAATCCTTGGCCTGTTCTCCAGGTTGCTCAGCGCCAAGCTCAGCCCTCGAGCGAGGGCCTGGTGCTCCCTCCCCCTGCCTCCCAGGAGACTCTCTTGGGGCCTCATCTCCCCGAAACTGCCTCCTTCCATCCCCCGTTCCTCTGCTTCTTCTCTTCTCAGCTCCTTCCTGGCTTCTCCTTTCCCAAGCTGAACAGCGGGCTCCTCAGGCTCAGCTCAGCCCCTGCCCTTCCCTCTGCCTGTTGCAGCGACTGTTCCCGCTTCCTAAGAATGAAAACCCCACAAGCACATGAGGGCAGATGGTGCCTCACGCAGAATCAGTCTCAGTCAATCTGTTGAATAAATGAATGAGTGAACGAATGGATGCCTATGCCATCTTCCCAGATTTGTATCTCAGGTCCAGGTCCCGTTTTGAGAGGCAGGTACAGAAACTGCTTCTTCAACCTCTCCTTTGATGTTCCCAAAGCAATTTACATGCAAATACAGGCCCCTCCTCCCTCCCTGCTCCTCCCCCAGGGCTCCATCCCAGAAATTGCCACCCCATCCAATGCGGCACACCAGGGTCCTGGGTGTCACTCCCCGCCCCTCCTCATTCCTCCTGCAGTCAATCACCAAATCTTATACTTTCAAATCCCCTTGCTTCTTCCCCTCCACCAACAGCTGCCACCATCTCTCACCTGGACGGCAGCCTCCCACACACCCATCTTGCCTCTCCCCGCATCGTCCCCCAGCAGCACAGTCATCGTTTAAACCAGAGAAATCTGGTCACACCCTTTCCCTGCTCGAGCCCTTCCAGTGGCTCCCTGTGACCTCTGGGTAAGGCCCCAATCCCCAGTGTGGCCCACAAGGCTGAGCTCCCCTGGCCCTTAACTCTGGTTTACGGCAAAATGAACGCACCAAGCTTCTCCCTGCCTTGAAGGCTCTGCACAGGCCACAAGTTCCTTCAACTCCCGTCCCGATGGCCTCCGAAACCTCCCTGGCCCCGGGGCCACATTAGTCTATCTGTCCCCAAGCACGCTGGACAGCTTTAACACCCCCATCACCCCACAGGTTCTGATTTCACTGATGGGGGAGGGCCAGCCTTCGGCTTCTGTTTTAAGCCTCCTGGGTGACCTAACAGCCAGAGCTGAGAGCTGCTGCCGCTCCGACTGTTCCGGAGAAGTCTTCCCCCTGGAAGATCTAGATTTTGTTGGTCTGAAGGTCACTCTCTGGAAACCCTGCTCCTTGGAGCTGAGTAGGTGGCAAAAGGCCAGACCTGGCCATGCTACTGGTGATGACAGCTTGAGAGGCATTGAGCGACTGGGGCTGGGGCCCAGGCACCGTCCAGGTCTAGGCTCGCATGACTCATGTATCTGGCTCCAGCGCTGCCAGCAAACCTGGGCATCCCGTATAGGCAGTGGGTCACCTGGCACAGCCCGGCTCATGTCCCATCTGGCTTACCTACTCTCCCACTCCTCAAAGACCCCCTCTAGGGCATTTAATGAGATGATATCCAACCTCAAAGGAAAACACTGTCTCACAAGTGAAAAACGAATTCATTTGTTTGAATATGGTGACAGGGACCTGCCTCAAGTCAGTAGCACCAGTGTGAAGGGGGGACCTTCTTTGTTTCTTTGAAGAACAAACACAAGGGTCAGGAAGAGGAGACAAGTGACACGAAAGAGGAAGTGGTGGATGGGACACCTCACAGGGTGAGGAGGAGGCTGTGTGGCACTAACCTGATGATGAAGGCGCCTCGGACCTCCAGGAGCTTCCGTT